GTTTACTCTTTAAAGTCTTACCTTTTCCTTGTATTCTTTAAATGAGTTTCATTTTATCATGTTATTTTCCTCATATTATTAAGTGAAAATATGTCCTAAGGAAATAGAAAAGTCTGTGAAAACTGTATTCCAATCTAAGAGACATGGAAAGGCCCATACACCGGAAGCAAATTCTCATTCTCCTTCCCCAATACTAAGTAGCAATTATGACCAGAGCTGCATCTCCCTTTTTTTCCCCAAATTTTTATTATAAATATTTTTAAACAAACAGAAAAGTTGAAAAAATCACACAAATACTTGTCATGTTTATTCAGTCCCTTGATTCTCCACTTAACATGTTATGTTTCGTTTATCTCATATCTATCCTTCTGTTCATCCCTCTATCATTTGTCCATTCATCCTATTTGTTTTTTGATTCATCTCTTTCTTACTGACACCAAAACTTATTGAGATAAACTCAGTAGGTAATTAATCATTTCAATTGGCTCTGATTATTCTATTTTAATTTGCTAATGAAATGACTATAAATGTGCCGTGCTTTTTTAACTGTGTATTTATGAAAGGGTGTATGTTACTGATGACACAGAGAGTAGACTATTTGGAACCACTACATCAAAAACTAATGATGTACTCTATGTTGGCTAATTGAACATAATAATAAAATAAAATAAAATAAAATAAAATGAAGGAAAATAAATTATTCATATCTATTCTGTTGATTATTTTGCATATATACTCCAACATTCAAGTAATAAGGCAAGTGTAATAAGTAATTGATGTTAATATACCTATATTGGATAGAAATAATTGATATAACATTATACACTTGTTTTTGAGTGTTTAAGTGATATCTAGGGAAATCTGGGAGACTTTTTAAATTAGCTAGGAACAGGTTAATATTGTTATTATGTATTTAAATAATGAAATGGGGGTTGATACTATTCTAAACTTTATTTCCTACTACATTTTCTGTAACAGATATCATTTAATAAGTAAATGTATAATTCTATTTTTAATGCGATCAATTTTTTCCCTATGGAAAAAGCCTACTACATGGAAGACTTATTGCCAGATATCAGGCATAAAACAGTGATAACATTTAGATGTTGCTCTCAGGAATCCAGCAATTTATTTGGAAGATAAATTTAAATATACATTGTATAGGGGGCACCTGGGTGGCTCAGTCGCTTAAATGCCTTCAACTCAGTCATGATCCTGGGGTCCTGGGATGAGACCCCCATCAGGCTCCCTGCTCAGTGGGGAGCCTGCTTCTCCCTCTGCCCCTCCCCCTGCTCATGCTCTTTCTCACTGGTGCTATCTCTTAAATAAATAAATAAATACTAAAAAACATATATATACATTGTACATATATGTAAAATAGCATAAAAATTAGAACTACTTGAATGTGTGTTCTGTGAGTGCAAATGAGAAGCAAATAAACTAGGCTTTATCACCAGAGTCATTCAGAGATAGTTTCCTGGGAAGTTAATACTTACTTCAATTGAAACTAGTGGGTATGGGGATTTTCTTGATAAAAAAAAGAGTGTGTTCTGGGAGGATTATGAGAGAGAATAACTCCTACAGAGAATCACAATAATTCTAGATAAGTTGCATGTCTGACCAAAAAAAGGGATCTCCAATTTTTCTTCATAAACAGATCTGTCGATTAAACTTCACAAAAAATATATGGCAGAGTGTTTTGCTTTTCAAAGATTATCTTCACATTTGGATATATTTGGAGATTTTATATATATATATATATATATATATATATATAAAACCTATATTACCCTGAGAAAAAGAAAACAGGGACTTTAGTCTTTGAGAAAGGAAACTCAGGTCCTGGGAAAAAATTCATTATATAGCATTATAATTTTTTCCCCTTCCATTCAAGCTGACATATGAAATCCCCCAATTCTAAATGTGTTCTCTGAGAAATCCTCAGTTGCTCTTTGTTTGATTTTGGCAAGTCATATATCCTATGAGCTTTATGAAGATATCATAAACAACATACACATCATATGCAAATATTGGTGGTATAGTTGATGGTCCAGGGAAGTCTGTAACCACAGACTGGTCAGAAAAGACTAATGATAGGAGAAGCGATAGAAAAGGGGACAAAGTGACTCAATATATGGTCTGTTTTGACTCACGTCTGGTATAATAGTTCCTTCATTAGTCATCAATTATTGCCAGTACTAATTTCACAGATTCTTTCCAAGGCTATCAATTAAAGAGCAACAGGGAATTTAATTACACTGCTTGACATTGTTACTTAGCTCTTCATGTTCATTTGGAAATGGAAATTCCAGGCTTAATTTGAAAGGCGACATTACAATAACAACAATAATAATAAATATAAAATGACTTTTTTATTTGTTAAATAGTAAATAACCTGGGTGGCTCAGTTAGTTGATAGCCTTTGGCTCAAGTCATGATCCCAGTGTCCTGGAATGCAGTCCCTCATCAGGCTCCTTGCTTGGCAGGGAGTCTGTTTCTCCCTCTGCCTGCTGCTCCCCCTGCTTGTGTTCTCTCTGTCTGATAAATAAATAAATAAATAAATAAAAAAGAACTTTACTGTTCAAAAATGTGGGGCTATATAAAGTTTAATCAACTTCATGCTGCGAAGACTGATGTTTTCCCTATGTAATCTGTAATGTTTAGTCCCACAAAAGTACAATTAAATAATCACCATTATGACCCTAATACCCACGACTCTTTCATTATTGGTTCCCAAGGCTAGTCCTCTAGTGACTGCAGAATTCTCAAAGGCTGTCATCTGTCTGGTCAGTGAGACTCCTCTAGAAGAACAAAAAGAGATATTCTCATTCATGATCATTGACAGCCAACCACATGGGGCATTAATTTTGCATAACCCTCCTGAAAAACCCAAAGGCACCAGAGCAAGAAGTAGGAGGGAGCTGATTTGTCTTGCCACCATCTGGAAGCTGAATACAACCCAGGTAAAAACCAGTCAGATAAAGAAACAGGACTACATGATATAGGCATTTCTACTCCAGAGAAAAACAGAAGAAGAATTTTAAAAAATGGGCAGAAGATATGAACAGACACTTCTCCAATGAAGACATACAAATGGCTATCAGACACATGAAAAAATGTTCATCATCACTAGCCATCAGGGAGATTCAAATTAAAACCACATTGAGATACCACCTTACACCAGTTAGAATGGCCAAAATTAGCAAGACAGGAAACAACATGTGTTGGAGGGGATGTGGAGAAAGGGGAACCCTCTTCACTGTTTGTGGGAATGCAAGTTGGTGCAGCCACTTTGGAGAACAGTGTGGAGATTCCTTAAGAAATTAAAACTAGAGCTTCCCTATGACCCTGCAATTGCACTACTGGGTATTTACCCCAAAGATACACATATAGTGAAAAGAAGGGCCATCTGTACCCCAATGTTTATAGCAGCAGTGGCCACGGTCGCCAAACTGTGGAAAGAACCAAGATGACCTTCAACAGATGAATGGATAAGGAAGATGTGGTCCATATACACTATGGAGTATTATGCCTCTATCAGAAAGGATGAATAGCCAACTTTTGTATCAACATGGACGGGACTGGAAGAGATTATGCTAAGTGAAATAAGTCAAGCAGAGAGAGTCAAGTATCATATGGTTTCACTTATTTGTGGAGCATAACAAATAGCATGGAGGACAAGGGGAGTTAGAGAGGAGAAGGGAGTTGGGGGAAATTGGACGGGGAGGTGAACCATGAGAGACTATGGACTCTGAAAAACAATCTGAGGGTTTTGAAGTGGCAGGGGGTGGGAGGTTGGGGGAACCAGGTGGTGGGTATTGGAGAGGGCACAGATTGCATGGAACACTGGGTGTGGTGCAAAAAACAATGAATACTGTTATGCTGAAAATAAATTAAAAAAATAAAAAAAATACTTAACAGCATGTATAGCAAATTTAGTGACCAATGAATGGACTCCAACTATAGGAGAAAAGCAGGGTCAGGAAGGTCTCCTCCTGTGCCAGTCTTTACCTCAGAAGCTAAACTGTAATTGTATCTAGAGTGTCTCCAATATAGTAAGGTGAGTAAAAGGAAGGTGGCGCTTAGGGAATTTTAAATGGAAACCATTGACAAGAACATTTTATGGACTTACTGGTGCATACAGCTGAACAAAATATTTTGGAAATTTAAGATACTTAAGAGCAAAAATGATGATAAATGAAGTAGGCTAAATTCTGAAATAGTGCTTATTTTGTTGCTGCTATAGAAATGTGTCTGAGAGATGTAGCTAGATGCTTTGTTTGAACTTCATAAAGTGAGAGTAACAAAGATCAGTAAAACTAAAAATCAAGGTTTAGTTTTTAAAATGAAAAATCAAGGTTTAAATGGTCCAAATTTTCATATTTGTCTTTGCATATCAATCTGATCATATTCACAGAAATTGATTTGTACTAGGTTCAGTAAGTGTTTTTAATCTAAAATAGCAATATGCTTTTATAGAGAGTTTTATGAAAAAAGAAAATTTTCCAATGAAGAGAAAAAACAAGCTTAATAGAGCAAAAGATGTTTCAGAGGCATAATCAGAGCAATAAGTTTCTACTTTTCATTTGAAAATAAGTTTCTTTTGTACTTTTTTATTTGTTTAGTGAAAATATAATCAAAATAAGTACTTGACATGTTTCCAGCAATTACTAGATGGTGTTTATGCAGTGAAGAATAAATGAGATATGGAGCAAAATGTCACAACTGTAAGTTCTATTCTTTCTTTCCCTAGGTTTCTGTTCTTTCTTCTGAAATCCTACTCTTTCAAGCGCCTTTTGAATTTTGAGATAAAAACAAATATTATTGGCTAATTCCATGTCCTCACCCTGATACCTGAATCTGGCACAAAGTTTCCTACTATAAATTGTCATAAGATATGTATCACATATTTCATGTATAAACAAAGAGTATTTTTTATGCTCAACCTATTGAAAATAACATTGATGACACTTAAATTACAGCAAGTTTAGTGACTGAAAATGTTAGTTCAGAATAGAACCAGTTTCCACCCAACTACTTTCCTTCTCCTTGGAATTCCAGGGCTGGAGGCAGCTCATGTCTGGATCTCCATCCGCTTTTGCCTGGTCTACCTACTGGCTCTGATGGGGAATTGTGTTCTTGTGTTCATCATCAAGATGGACCCCAGTCATCATGAGCCCATGTGTCTCTTCCTCTGCATGCTCTCTCTGAATGACTTGATGCTTAGCACCACTGCCCTTCCCAAGATTCTCAGCCTTTTCTGATTCAATGACAGAGAAATCAGCTTTAAAGCTTGCTTCTCCCAGATATTCTTCATCCACTCTTTGTTCGCCATGGAGTCAGGTTTTTTATTGGCCATGGCCTTTGAACGATATGTGGCCATCTGCAACCCTCTAAGGCTCTCCACCATTCTTACACATGGAGTAAGCATGGCTTTGAGTTTGCCCATTGTCCTACGTGGAATTATCCTGCTGAGTCCTCATCCTTTCTTACTGATGAGGCTTCCCTACTGCAAAACCAATGTCATCACCAATACCTACTGTGAATTTATGGCCCTGATCAAACTGGCCTGTGCCAATACCAGGATCCACAGACTCTAAGCCTTAACTCACCTCCCTTTCAGGTGGGCTGGACTTAATATTGATAATGTGCTCTTATATTCTTATTCTTCGTGCTGTGTTTCAACTTCCATCAAAGGAGGCTAGACTCGACCTTAAGCACATGCAGCTCTCATGCTTGGGTCATCCTACTGTTTTACATTCCCGCCTTTTTCTCATTCATCACTCATAGATTTGGTGAGAACATAGCTCCTCACATCCACATCTTTATAGCCAACATTTATCTTCTTATCCCTCTGATGATAAACCCTGTCATCTATGGTGTCAAAACAAAAAATATTGGGGAGAGATTTCTTAAAGTCTTCACAAACACATACATTTTGATATGTTTTGTTTATAAAGTTTGTCGTTGTTGTTGTTTTGTTGTTTTTAGTTTTTCTTTTTGTTTTAATTAGCCAGCAAGACAGGTGGATACCATGGAATTATGGCCTTGTTTATATTCAATTAAATCACTACTACCTAAGAAGACAGAAATTTCCCAGGTGAATGTGTCATACTTACTAAAAAAATTTGTAATTAATATATGGAATACAGTAGGTACCAACACTTATATACTATTTTTGAAAGACATTACTATTTTTAGTATAGGGCCATTTCCTAATTTGTGTTTCCAAAACAAACTGCCCAACACTTAGAATTAAATCAAGATGCATAAGTTACTTATTATGTTTCTTCAATGACAAATGTTTTCTCATTCCATCTTTCCTTAGCACAGGCACACTCAACCTGGAGTGGCTAATACACTGATGAAAGTATAACTTTGTAGGGAGTCAGCATTTTTTTCGCTTGCTTGCAACAGTTAATAATCTAGGACTTAAAGGTAGAAGAACTGAAAAGGCAAAGTGTGTCTCTGAAATTTTTAAATTTTCTTCCATTTTAAAGAAACTGAGCATATAATTGAGGCTTTAATTATCATATATTTTTTGTTTTGTTTTGTTTTAGTTTATCATATATTCTTTAATTTTGTGTAACCAATGTAGAGGTCAGCTATACATATAAGTAGAGCTCTTCTATATAAGTCAGCTTTGGCCACAGCTAATTTAGGAGCTGCTTTGCTTCAAAAATAATATATACATTCAAATTTTTTAGTTTGGGAAAAAGTATAAAACAAAGGGAAAGGAACAGAAGCAGAAAATCTGCATACAATTTTCCCATCCATCAAGACTGTTATTCTTCAAAGTAGCTATTTAAAACTGAAGTTAGTTTTGAGGAGAAATGCAGCATGTTATTAAATTGGCTTTATATGATATAGATCATCTCAATTTATTCACAATGATCATATGGCAATGACTGTATACTTTTCCTGACAATGCAACTGAAATATATTTTAGAAAATTTGAACACCGAAAAGGTAAAAGAAAAATATTTGTTTAGAAGTGTAAATCAAAGGGTGCCTGGGTGGCAAAATTGGTTAAGCATCTGACTCTTGGTTTTGACTCAGGTCATGATCTCAGGGTTGTAAGATCAAGTCCCATGTCAGGCTCCATGCTCAGCATGGAGTTAAGACTCTCTCTTCTTCTACCTCTCCCCCCTTAAAAAACATAAATCTTTAAAAACATAGATCTTTAAAAAAACCAAAGTCTAAATCTAGCATACTGACAACAAACACAATGGACATTTTGTTAGTCTTCCTTTCATGAAACTCTGTGGTTTGGAGTGTACATAAATTTTGTAATTTTCCATGATGTGGACAGTATACTTACTTTTCTTACTCTAGAAATTACCTTTTGTTTTTTTTCTGTCATTCCTTATATATTCTTAAAAGTATCTCTCAAGTTAACTAGTGTGACCAAATTGTCAATCCTTTTATACCTTTCACCATTTTTATTTGTAGTTGAAAAAAGTATTAGGGAAAAAAATATTAGAATCAAGAGAATATAGGTAGTGTTAAAAACTACTGAAAATGGAATATTTATTTTAAGTGATATTCTACACTTACTCAGATTTTACTTTATGACTATGAATGATTGTTAGGAATAATGTCAATGTTAATATCTAATTCCTTTTTGATTTCCACAAAATATTCATTAGTATAGGTATATTGGACCTTATTAAATTCACTCTCTGTTGCTAGGCATTCAATTTCTTAAAAAAAAGTTATTTATTATCTACCTAGTTATGTAAACTTTACTTTTTAGATCCAAAGCAAAATCGAGAGGAGGTTACAGAGTTCCCGTATCTCTGCCCTCACAAACACATAGCATACCCTACTATCAACATTCCTCATGAAGGTGACGCATTTGTGAGAGTCAGTTACCTTACAGAGGCACACCACTAGTACTCAAAGTCCACAACTTTCATTAGGGTTAACCCTTGGTGTTGTACATTCTGTGTATGTTGACAAATGTATCATGACATATAACATGTATCCATTGTTTTAATATCATACAGAATAATTTCACTGTAGTAAAAATCTTCTGTCCTCTACCTATTCATCCTTCCCTTCCCCCAGGCCCTGAAACTGAAACCACTGGTCTTTTTACTGTCTCCCTAGTTTTACGTTTTCCAGTATGTCATGCAATTGCAATCATACAGTATGTAGCCTTGGTTTCTTTCATGTAATAATATGCATTTAAGTTTCCTCTATGTTATTTCATGGCTTGACATGCTATTTTTTTTTGACGGTTTTATTTATTTACTTGACAGAGATATTACAAGTAGGCAGAGAGGCAGGCAAAGAAAGAGGAAGGGAAGCAGGCTCCCTGCTGAGCAGAGAACCTGATGCAGGACTCTATCCCAGGACCCTGAAATCATGACCTGAGCCGAAGGCAGAGGCCCAACCCACTGAGTCACCCAGGTGCCCCGACATGCTATTTATTTTTAGTGCTGAATAATATTCTACTATCTGAATGTACCACAGATTATTATAATTATTATTTTGTACCACAGATTATTTATTCATTCACCTGCTAAAGAACTTGGCTGCTCCCAAGTTTTGGTAAGTAAGAATAAACATTCTTATTGTTTATATTGTTATAAACATTCATGTGCAGATTTTGTGTGGGCATAAGTTTTCAACTCTTTAAGTAAATACTGAGGATAGCAATTGCTGACTCATATGGTAAGAATATGTTTAGTTTTGTAAGAAACTGCCAAACTGTCTTCCAAGTAAGTGTACAATTTTGCATTTCCACAAACAATGAATAAGAGCTCCTATTCTTCCACTTTGTCCTCAGCATTTGGTATTATCAGTGGCTTGAATCTTCCCCATTATAATAGATGTGTTACACTATCTCACTGTTGCTTTAATTTACAATTCTCTATTAACAGATAATGTTGAGCATCTTTTCATATGCTCCTTGCCATCTGTATATCTTCTGTGGTGAGATGTCTATTGAAGTTGGGTCAATCATTTTCTTCTTGTTGAGTTTCAAGAATTCCTTATATATTTCATGTAACAATCTTTTACCAGATATGTCTTTGCAAATATTTTCTCCCACTTTGTGACTAGTCATCTTACTCTCTTGACAGTGTCCTTCATAGAACAAAAGTTTTAAATTTTAATTGGAGTCTAATTAATCAATTATTATTTCATTTGTGGTGCCTTTTGGTGTTGTAAAAACTGATTGCCTAACCCATGGTCATCTACATGTTCTATGTTATCTTTTAGGAGGTTTTAGTTTTGCATTTTACTTTTAAGTCTGTGATCCATTTAGAGCTAATTTTTGTGAATAGTTAGAATGTGTGCATCTAGATTTTTTTTGTCAGGAATTCAATTTATATTTAAGTTTATGTTTAAGTTTATTTATAGTGATGTTTATATATATATTTAAGTTTATGCAACTTATATTTATGTTTAAGTTTATGTCATTAAGAATTGCTATATCAACTACTATTGTAAATATTTTCTTTTTTGTTTGTTTTTTTTTAAAGATGTTATTCTTAAATAATATCTATACCCAACCTGGGATGCAAACCTACAACCCCAAGATCAAGAGTCACATGCTCTACTGACTGAGCCAGCCAGGCTCCCCTATTCCTTCTTTTAAAGTCAGGTTTATTGGGATACAATTTATGCAGTATAAATTTAATTCTTTTTAGTGGGCAGTTCTATGAGTTTGTTTGTTGTTTTTTATTTATTATTTATTTATTTATTTATTTTAAGTAGGCTCCATGTCCAACATGGGACTTGAACTCATGACAACCTCTGAGCTGAGATCCAGAGTCACATGCTTTACCAGCTGAGCCAGCCAGGTGCCCTTCTTCTACTTATAAGCAAATTCTGAATCACCGTATTACTTTTATTACTTATATTACTTGTACTATATTACACTTCAGTTCAAAGTTATATGCATACTGAACAATCTTTAATGAGATGAGCCATTTTTAAAAAATGTATAGTCCATACAGAATTGCTCTCTTTTGGATTACTTGTAGATATCATTTCATTAACTTTTCTGTTTGTTTGAATTGATTTCTCTTCCATGGTCCACATTTCTTTGTACATTGAGGAGTTTATCATTTCCTGTGCAAGATATATGTTCTACAGATCTCATTTTTAAGAAATCATGATTGTGTTTTCTTTTACTATAATTATTAAAAATAATTTCTTAATTGTCAGGTGCTTCTGTATTTTCATTTGATAATTCCTGCCTTAATTTCTTTATAACTAGCCAACAAGATAAGAAGATAGGTATCTATCTATTTATATAGATGCATATATAGTAGAGAACATAGATTATGATATATGAAATTAAATTCTATAATACAGTCTAGGATATTGTATGTACCAAACCATTTGTTGTTTTTTAATACATTTAAGTTTTCAGGATAATTTAGCAGAACCTTCTTTTTCATATGTATTTTGGGGTATTTTTGCATATATATAACCTCTTGTGCTGACACCATTAGTTACATGAAATAAATTTGCCCTACGGATTTGGAAAAACCACATTTGTCATATACAAAATTGTTATGTATATTGAAATTTTCACAGGGCTCTTTATATTTTATTGTTCTTATTGGAAGCAGTGCTCTTATTTAAGAAATCATAGCCTATTTCAAGATAGTGAGATAGTTCTATGTTTTCTTCTAAAAGCAATATTTTCTAATTCACTAACTGTATAAACATTATGAAGCTGATTGATTGGGGAGGAGGGTGTAATATAGGATGGGCATACATATTTCCCTAATTTGGCTACCTTTTCTTTGTTGGAAACTCCATTCTATCCACACATTGTTATAGATCATATGTGGATTTCTCTCCCCCGCCCTTTTTTTTTTTGTTTGTTTGTTAAGGTACAACACAGATAACATAAAATTTACCATAACCATTTTTAAGTGTACAGTTCATTGGAATTAATACATTGACATTGTTTGTAGCCATCAACATGACCCATTTCATGCCTCTTTTCATCTTGTAAAACTAAAATTCTATCCCTAAGTTATAATAAATCCTCACTTTTTCCTTCACCCAGCTCCTAGCAACAACCAAATACATGATTTCTTTTTCTTTTGTTCCCTATGCCTTTGGTTTCTTATTTAGTAAATCATCACTAAATCCAATGTCATGAGGCTTTTTCCTGACATTTTTCTCTTAAAAGTTTTATAGTTTTAGGCCTTTTATATATTTTGAGTTAATTTTCATTTGCGGTCTTAGGTACGAATTAAACTTCATTCTTTTCCATGTAGATATCCAATGTTCCCAGAACTGTTTGTTGAAAAGACTGTCCTTTCTTCATTGAATCATGTTAGCATAATTCTATGGTTGTGAACAAATAAGAAACATATACTTTAGGGTTTCACCTAATAATGATATGTATACCTGCCTCCAGTTTCTGACACAGGGGTCCTAAAACTCTTGTAAATTTCTAAGTGATTTGAACATTAGGAATATCTTTTGCTCCTAGATAGGCACTGGTCACCAGAAAGACCAAACCATAATTAGAAGCTTGGAAGTTTCATCCCTAAACCCAGCCATTTTTCCAGATAGAAGAGAGGGGCTGGAAATGGAGTTAGTCATTGATCATGCCTAAGTGAGGAAGTCTACATTAAAAAAATCCCAATCGTATTGGGTCTGGAGAGTTTCGAGGTTGGTAAACATCATCCACCTATCAGGAGGTTGATGCACTCCAACTGCACAGGGACAAAAGCTCCTTCCCTGACCTTGTCCTATGCATCTCTTCATCTAGCTGTTCATCTGTATCCTTTATCATATCCTTTAGTAAACTAGTAAACATAAGTAAGTGTTTCTCTGAGTTCTGTGACCCACTCTAGCAAATTAATCAAAATTGAGGAGGACAATCTAGCAAGCTCTGACTTAAAGCCCATCAGTCAGGAGCACAGATGACAGCCTGGATTTGTGATTGGCATCTGAAGTGGAATGGGAGCAATCTTGTGAGACTGAGCCCTTAATTTTTGGGACCTGATGCCATCTCTAGGTTAATAGTGTCAGCATTGAGTTACATATAGGACACCCAGATGGTGTTGCAGAATTGTCAGGTGGGAGAAACCACCCCGACATCTGGTGTCAGAAGTGTTATGAGTGAGGTGGTAGTATAAGAGTAAAGGAGAAATACAGGAGGGAGTTTTTCCTAACACAAAGGTTAAATCCCATTTGGTTATAATGTGTACTCCTTTTAATATGCTGCTGAAGTTGGTTTGCTGGAATGTTACTGAGGATTTGTGCCCCAATGTTCATAACAGATATTGTCTATTCTGTTCTTTTCTTGTATCTTCTAGGACACCATATGTGACTTTATCTTTATTCTGTTTCACTGATCTATTTTTCCGTCCCTGAACTGATACCACACTGTCTAAATTATCCTAACTTTTAATTTTTCTATTATCTTGTATTGAATGCCCTCCAGGCACCTCAAGGGAGAATTCGAATATTTTACCTTTAGTGTAATGCTTACTGTAAGTTACTTATTTATATTTTGAATATATATACATCTCATTGTAAACTTAATTTCTGTTGATTTTTAGTCATGAATGGCTATTTAATATTAACAAATGCTTTTTCTGTATATACTGATATAATTATGTTTTTTCCCCTTTTCTGTTATATTCCTTGATTATCAGATATTAAACCAAACTTGCATTTCTGGGATAAATTTAATTGACAATATTTTTTTATCGCTAACATTGAGAAGTCTTCTATCAAGAATAATTTATATTTATATGCTTATTTGGGTAATCTATCTTTTTACTCTTTTTTTTAAAGATGATGTACTGTATGGTGACTAACATAACACAATAAAAAATAACTAACATAAAAACAATTTTACTTATTTATTTGAGAGTGAG